TCATGGACAGAGGAGCCTGGTAGGCTGCAGTCCATGGGGTCGCTAAGAGTCAGACACGACTGAGCGACTTCCCTTTCACTTTTCCTTTCATGCACTGGAGAAGGAAATGGCAACCCACTCCAGTGTTCTTGCCTGGAGAATCCCAGGGACGGGGGAGCCTGGTGGGCTGCCGTCTATGGGGTCGCACAGAGTCGGACATGACTGAAGTGACTTAGCAGCAGCTGTCATTAGTTTGAAAGTTCTACATTCTTACTAATATTAATCACTATATATACCCTAGACTTATCAAAAATCTAATATTAAATGAGATTTAAAAAACTCTTTTAGTATAATGCAGAGAGCTTAGAACACTTAAATCCTATTTAAACCCTCCCCATCTCTATGCCTTTAACACATAAACTTCGTAAGACACAATTAGTTTTATGTAGTATTTATGTTGACCCGTATATTTCTCATTTTCATTGCTATTCAGTTTTTCCTAAAGCTCTGTCCTTACATTTGGGATTATTTTCCTTCTGCCTTTAGGATACTTTTAATTTTCCTTTAGGGTATGTGTGCTAATGGATTCTTCCAGCTATTTGCATATAAATGTCTATTCTTCATTCTTGCAGGATATTTTCCCCAGTTAGAAATTTTGAGGTGGGCTGTCATTTTCTTCCAGCGCTTCAAAGTCACCGTATTTCACTATTCCTGCTGAGAAGTTAGTTGTCAGTTTAATTGTTGCTCCTTTGATGGTAATCCCTCTCTTACCCTTGCCCCACTCCTCAGTAGCTTTAACATCTTTTCTTTGGTTTTCAACAGTTTTACTATGATGTGTCTAGGTGTGGACTTATTTATCCCATTTGAGATTTGGGGCTTACTGAATTTATGGTTTGATATCTTTCTTGAGTTTTGGAAAAGTTCTCAGCCAATATTTATTTCACTCTCCTACTTTTCTGAGATCTGAACTACATTTAGGTCATACATCCTCACTGTATCCTTTGTGTCTCTTACCTTCGATTCACTTTCTGACTGCTTTTGCTCTGAATTTTTCACCTTACTCATTCTTTTCTCAGTTGTGACTAATCTGCTTTTAAACCCATCGACCGAATTATTAATTCTTGCTATAATATTTTTCAGTTCTAGAATCTCCATCTGGTTCCTTTTGTTTCTAATTCTCTGAAATTCTTGGGCACACTGTTTGCTTTTAAACACAGAAAGCATAGGTGGTTCCAATTCTGTGACTGAGACACCTGGAGAGACTGTGGGCATTTTTTCCCTCTGATTTTTTTTTCCCCCTCTGATTTTTAAAAATGTTTTAAAAATTAAAAAAAATGTTTATGTTACTTTTGGCTGCACTAGGTCTTGTTGCTGTGAGGGCTTTCTCTTGTGGCAAGGCGGGGGCTACTCTTTATTGGAAGTACGCAGGCTTCTCATTGCAGTGGCTTCTCCTTGCGGAGCACGGGCTCCAGGGCATGTGGACTTCAGTAGCTGTGGCTCAAGGACTCGAGAGAGCAGGCTCAGGAGTTGTGGTGCACAGGGCCCCTTGGCACGTGGGATCTCTCTGGACCAGGGATCGAGCTGGCATCCCCTGCATTGCAAGGCAGACCCTTAGCCACTGGACCACCAGGGAAGCCCCCTCTGATGGTTTTAATTCATATAACATATTATTTGGTCTTCTCATGTGCCTGGATATTTCTGATTGTAACAGATAATCTGAGGCCTTGGGTTATGCTCCTATATTAGGTCAGTTTGGGCTGTTCTAACAAAAATACCACAGACTGGGTGCCTTAAATAAGAGACATTGATTTCTCATTTCTGAAAAGGCTGTAAAGTCCAAGATTAAGGTGCTGAATGATTCCATTCCCGGTGAGGGCTTTCTTCCCGGCTTACAAACAGTGGTCTCTTTGCTGTGTCCCCTTTGATGGAGAGAGATCTCTCATCTCTCTTCTTGTAAGGGCACTAACCTCATCATGGGGCTCCACCATCGTGACCGCATCTAAACCTAATTGCTCCCCTAAGGCCCAGCCGACTAATGCTATCACCCTGGGATTACGGCTCAGTATGTGAAGTTGGAGGATACATTCAGTCGTTAACAGTTCATGTTCTCGGGGGGGAAGGTACATTTGCTAAGCACTGGGGCCACTAGTAGTTTCACCTCAATCCACTTTCAGGGATTGAATGAGGTGATTTAGAAGCTGGATCACAGTATCCATGAAGGGTAGTTTACTGATAGTAATGGAGTGCTAGGTAATCTAAACCTCTGGCTAATGGTGGCTTGGAAACCTGCCAAAATACTTAAAAACTTTGCTGGAGCCATCCCAGAGCCAACAAAATGATGAAGCATTACCTGGTTAAAGTCGCGTGGCGGACAGCGTTCCTCCTCCCGAGGCTGTGTCTGAGCAGCTGGCGCTTCTGACAGCCGGGTGAAGCCAGAAGGGCAGGGGCTGCATACACGGCCTGACCAAGGGGTGGGACACTCCTGACGGAGCTCTCCTATTTTGGGTGGGAGATCCCTAACGAGATTCAATTTTATGTTTTGAGTTCTTAAAAATAAAAATGCATTACTTGCTGTGGATTGTGTTATATAATTCACTCAGCTGTGTCACAGGAAGCTTGGCTCGTCCGACTAGAAGCCCTGAACTCCTTGACTCCTGGAGGCGACGCTAAGACACTGGAATAGCCCTGCATTTGGTGTCAGAAAGCCCGGGGATCAGTCTCTAATATCAATGGCAGCTACTGAAATGACAAGCACCGTGCTCAGGAGGAAGTTAAGAGACCCAAGGGCTGGCCCTGCAAACTCCAGTCCATTAAGTACCAGCAAGTGCCGCAGCTCTAATTTACGGCTCTTGGAAAGCGGTGACTCCGTTATGCAGAGAACCGCCATGCCTGAGGCAAGACCCCAGCTCCACAGAATCTGAAGGACACTATGTTGCCTGAAGAATGATATATTAAGAAATTTAGGGCCTAAAAGAACCCCCTCGCCATATTCCTCTTGCGGGGGGGGCGGGGATGTTCTAACAAGCTGGAGGAACACTCGCAGTCAAGTGTCCCCACTGACGCTGGTCTTATGTTCTTTCCTGCCTTCTCCAGCTCCTGCCATTTCCTTCCGAAGGTGAGGACTGTGCGTGCCACCTACTTTCTGTGCTTCAGGGACCTTCTTTCCTTTCCTTCCTCTGTCTTTGTCCTTGAGCTCCTCCACAGCCACGCTTCCATCTGCACTGCTGAATGGTGGCCATTCTGTGACGCCGACCTTGCAAGGCTGTTGTTCACAGATCCTGCGACACCAGCCTCAATGGGGGACGGGACCAGAGCTACAGTTCCGCAGCTTGTTTGCACAGAGCCTTGAACTCGGAAGGAAAGGTGCTACTGAGAGGAGCACATTCTTTTAAAAACAAACATGACAGATGATACACTGCAAAAACAGCTCTGTATCTTGGGCAAAATCAGATGTGAGTTTACGAGCAAACACACAATGAACGATCCTGTGTTGCCTCATTCTACATGGTTTTACTTTGTGGAAAACCAAAGGAATTTCTAAAGCAAATTAATGCAAGCGTAATTCAAGTTTATCATTTTAAATTTATTGTCATGTAATAAATCTTTCACAAAAATAAAGAAAAGCCTCTGGAGGGTTTGCAGAGCCGAGGCAGTGGTGTCTGGAGCGTGTACTCACACGTTGCCTCTAAGGCCGTTGCCCCAGCTGAACTGTGAGGCCAGTGAGCACTTCTACTGTGTGGTTAATTACAAGCGGGGGGCAGGGGAGGACACTGTTGGAGAACGGGGCCGTGGGGGCACCCAGTGAGCCGGGTGGCCTGGGGAGGAGACTGCGGGACTCCCCTGTCAAGACTCTCTTGGGTTTGCCCTCTGTGGCCGAGTTCTGGGGACTCCAGCCCTCCTGTTGGAAGAACCGACGGTCCTGCAGCCCAGTGACGGTCCCACGTCACGCGCGCTCCTCAGCCTCTTAGGGTGGTGCTGGGGTCCCACCAGGGGCTCCTCTGCCCCACGTGACCCTTTCAGATGGTTGTGTTTTGGTTTAAAGGAAAGGAAGCGGATCAGAATGCTTGGGAAACAAAGCGATGTATAGACACATAAATAACTGCAACCTGAAATGGGCATCTAGTGTTTTCCCCTTTCTGACTGGAGGATTCTGTCTTCCACCTTCACAATGCCTCCCTCTTAGGCCTGACTAAGCAGAAGCCGTTCACAGGCCTCACCTGCTGGTCTGAGGCCCTGTCCATGCGACCTTCAGGGAAACACCAGGGTCCCAGCCAGCGTCTCGGGTGGAGACACTCAGAGGCCTGAGGCTGAGGCAGCAGCCAGGCTGCACGTGCCTCCCGGGTCCACCTGGCAAAGGCCAGCCAGCCTCGGGGTGCTCTGGTCTCAGCCCCGGCCTGACGACGACGAAACCGGCTGACCTCAGATACTGCCAAGAGGGTGGGCAGCCAGGCTGTTCAAGGGGGAAACCACGCAAGTGTGCACTGATGTGTCATGTGTTTAACCTTTCCCAGGGCTCCGCATGAGAGAAGATGGCTCCCCTCAGACCCTCAGAAGATGGTGATGGATCAAAGTGACTCTGGTTGCCAGCCCGGGGACAGGAGAGAAGCTGCTTCTGATATAGATCAGGCAACAGCAGGTTGAAACGGGTGCTTCCCATGCAGAAAAGCACATAACTTTTGTGTCTCTGAGACTGAAACTAGGTCCAGAGGGGTGGCCATGGACCCAAAGCGTAGCTCTAAAGGCCAGTCCCTTCTGTCCTTGGTGCCCACTGCTCTGCTCGGGGGAACCCCAGCGGCCATGTCCCTCAGAGGAGCTCAGGGAGCCAACTGTGACTCACACAGGCCCCAGAAGAGTTTAAATAAAGTCAGAGACGGACAGGAAAACATGTCTTTCATCTCCTGTGGAACACTGTATTAATCAAATTGGTCTCCTTTTTCTCCTATTGGTCTGGTTGAAGAAAAAAAGACTGCTTTCAAAATGGAGCTTTTCTTTTCCTAATGATTAATACAGAGAAGATTAACTTAATTTGTGCTAGACTCCAATTTAATTCAGCTATAGCTCATAGGCCAAATCCACAGAAAAGCTAATCTGGGCTTCATGAGGAGGGAAAGATGTGGAGGATCTAAAGGCTTGTATCCAACTGCCCAGGCTTCCATCACGGGTCCTCTGAAAGGCCACTACACATATACACGGCTTTGTTTCCTTATTAATTCCTGTCCTGTCATCTTTTCAGATTGGTATTTCTTAATGTTGAAACACAAACACACCACACACACACACTCTCAAAACAAAAATCCTGAGCATGCAAAAAAGAAAAGAAAAATAAGTATGCACTGGTAAAGTATTATATGCCTAAGGCATCAGGTTTCCTGGAAAAGCTCTAGATTTTTGGTTTAGAAATAAGATTGCATGTAAAATAGCTGGTTTTTACATTTATTATGGTTGCGTACCCCCTCCCACTTTTTGCACTATAATCTAAACTGAGTGATCTATTGCCAACTGGCCTCAATTCTCCAAGCCCGTGTGTGCAAGGGAAACACGCCTGTGTGAGCCTCTTTAACAGAAGATGCACCAGGGACTCTGTCTACCTCCGTTCCCCAGAAAGAAAATAAGTAGAAGGACTGCTTGGCTGGAGGGGGCTGGAGGCCAGGCGGGGTGGGGGGTGGGGAATGGGGCCTACTCTCAATCGGAATCCATCGTGAACAGCTGGATGTCCTGTGGGTTCCAGTAGAGACCTACTGCTGAGTTGTACACCAGGGACCAGACGTAGGGGATAAAAAACTCCTCGGGCTGCTCCTCTTCCACATATTTGAATTTCAGTTCTGGAAATTTCTGCAACAAAAACAAGATGAGGTGATCAATCTCATAGGCCTGTGAGAGAGCAGCAGGAGTTTGTACACGGTGTGTGGGGGCTGCAGGGGGCCCATCTCCCCTGACAGGGCAAGGGGCCTGGAGTCCCAGGCCAGAGATCCAGCCTCCTGATGTCCCTCTGGAGGCCGGGTGAATCCCCCACGGGAAGGGCACACAAGCCCACCGGCCCTGGTCAGGGACGTCAGCATGCTGAGAGCAGCAGGGCCTGGACAGGGCATGAGGCGAAGCGAGAGACGTCAGGCAGGAAAGCAGGCCTTGCCCAGGCAGACAGTGCTCAAGCAGAGACTGCTGCGTGGCTGGGGTCCTGTGGCTGGGTCTCCTTCAGACGCCTCCCCTCTCAGTGCTGAGTTACCTTGGAGGCGAGGATGTCCCCCCAACAGGTCCTCGGCCTTGACTGTGTGGGCGGGCAGTGCCGGGTGGACGTGGCAGGTGGGGGTGAGGCGGGGGTGCTCCAGCCCTGCGGAGCGGGCGGCAGAGGGGAGCCCTGGCTCTGCCACGCTTCAGGTGGCCTGGCCGCACTCTGCAGTCCCGAGTGAGAAGGGAGAACACGTGCAGATTCCTGGAAGTGGCACTTTCACTGCAGCATTTCACCAGGATTGGGGCTTCTGATTTTCTAATCTTACTCCTGATTTATTTATTCCAGCTAGAGCAGAGGAAGTGATGTCCCCCCTCTTTGGCAGCCGAGGAACCCAGGGTCCCCAAAGGTCCCTGGTGGGGCCACTTTCCAGGCCAAAGTGACACCAGCCAGAGTGGCTGCAGTTTGGTGACCTGTGTCCCAGGTGGGGCGGGGACAAGGGGAAAGTGTCTCAGGAGGAGGGGCAGTGCGGAAGGTCGAGGCAGAGGGCTGAGAGAGAGAGAAGGGAGACGCACATACAGAACGCATGGCCCGTGAGAGCGGAGATTCTATATTCACTGTGTTGGCGGCTGTGTTCCCTCAGAGAGCGGTCAGACACTTAACAGATTTGATGAACGACTCAAAGAAGCAATCAACCATATAAGGACCAACTATGTCCCAGACACAATGGTAAATGCTTTACGCATATTATGGTAGTCAATCTCTCTTACGTGAGTCACTCATTCATCGTTCTATTGCTTGAACGTCTGCTCCCCTGCACACCAGGCAATGTGTGCATCAGGGCCTCAGGATACACAGTCCCTGTCCTCACAGAAGGTTCCTTCTCGTGCAGCAGAGGGACACAGAAGCGGCAGCCACAGAGCAATGATAACAGACCGCAGTAAGTCACCTACGTATGGATGAGCTCTGTTTCGAGAACACGTTTGTAAGTCCAACCAAGGTAGCCTAGGTACCCAACTAACACAATCGGCTACATAGTATTATAATGTAATAGATTTATAATACTTCTCAAATAATACAGAAAAAAAAGTACCAAAAAATAAAGAAAACATTTTTAACCTTACAGTTCAGTACCTTGAAAAGCACAGCAGTACAGCATAGCTGGCATACAGGGGCTGGCACTGAGCGACCAGGCAAGAACTACTGACCGCAGTAGGGAGAGGAGGTGGGAAACGGCAGAGCTGAAGGATCGTCAGCAACAGGAGATGGAGGGCGGGGCGCAATTTCACTCCTGCCTGATGTTGATCAAATGCATCTCTGAAAGCTGCCACTTGAAGGTTCGTATGTAGGGAACTTCCTGTTGTAAGAAGGGAGTTCCACTAAGGAAGGATAGTGGTTCCAGAGGCCTGCAGGAGGTGGAGGGGCAGCCAGGTGAAGCGGGACGCGTGCTCCTTCTGAGGGAACAGCAGGCAGGGAAGGCATGAGGTGCTTTTTGCTGGAGGCAAGAAGAGGGACAGTGGGGGAGCCAGCCTTGGCCAGCAGGGCCCAGAGGGGAGGAAGGAGTCGCATGAAGAGCCCTGGCCTCTGCTCGAAGGTCCTTCGAAACCTTTGAAGGGTCTCAGAAGGGGGCTTGATGAGACTGGCTTTGTGCAGGGACCACTTGAACACAGCGTGGAGAACTGGAGGGCACTGGTGGGGACAGGGCCTGGTCCAGGTGAAGGGAAAATGAGCGTGAACTAAAATGAGTTAAAGATTTTAAACAAAAAGTGAGGGTGTGGGGGGGACTGGTGGTGGTGGGAGGTGGTGGGTTAGGGGCTCAGAGTGGGGAGGGCGTAAGGGAGCTACACACACGGAGTTGAATGGCTCGGACCGCAAAGAATCTGCCTGCAGTGCTGGAGACACGGGTTTGATCCCTGGGCTGGGAAGACCCCCGGGATGGCTACCCACTCCAGTGTTCTTGCCTGGAGAATCCCGTGGACAGAGGAGCCTGGTGGGCTAAAGCCCATGGGGTCGCACAGAATTGGACATGACTGAGTGACTGACACTTCCACTGTTTTCACTTTCACACAGAGTTCAAGAGATTTTTCAGATAACATGTGCAGTGATTAAGACTAAACATCTAAGTCCTGGATCCTCAGGGTTCCAAAATGATGACCGTGAGAGGGGTTAAGCAGGAAATGCTTTGTGGCAAGTAGAGTTTTGAGTTAAGTCTTAGCAAAATGTACAGGACATCATACAAAAGAGGGTCCTGGTCATGGCTGTTACCTCGACATACCATGATGGCACAGTCCCCACCTGTTACAGCTCTAATGGAAACCGACTTCATTCCACGGCTCCCAGGGCATCAGTAAACAGTCTATACACAAATGGGTTTTATAAGCAGCCCAGACTTCAACCTTACCGACCGCTATATCCGCCCTTGTACATTTTACCCCATACTTTGCGAAACGATTCAGGTTTAATGCAAACCCAGGCCTCTCCAGGGCACCGTGTTTCCAAATCAGCTCTCTCCTGCCCTCAGTGCAGGCTGACGGTCTCGGTGTGCGCTGAGGGCCGTGCCGGTTTCAGCGCACAGGGACAACTTCTGCCGCTGGGCTCCTGGGCTCCGGTGGACAAAGCCGAGCAGCGCGGGACGGGGCACTGCTTCTGGTGCTTACTGGTCTGACTGGAATTCGGTTCTGTCCCCAGCTTTCCGTCCTGCTGGATCCCTCCCACCCTGGGCCCCCAGTCTCTGGGCGTGCCACAGCCGCTCAGCAGCTGGTGGTCTCTGGGGCCCAGGCGTCCGTGATGAGCCACCTCACGTGCTCTGTGTCACATCTGGCCTGGCATGGAGTTCTCAGGTGTGGGGACAGGGTCCTTGGAGGTGGCAAAAGGTCTTTGTCAGGGAACCAGGTGTTTTACAGGTAGCAACACAATGATCTTCTTTTGCAAGAAAAGCCTGCATATGTAGCAAGAGGGTGCAGAGAGCGGCTGCCACCAACTGAGGACTCCCTGAGCACCAGGCCGGTCTAGAAGCTTCCCTGACGTGTCGTGGTCAGTCACCACGGTGTCCTGGCGAGGCCCCCGTGGCCAACTCCACAGACAGAAGGTGAGGCAGGGCCTGGAGCAGCTGAGTGCCTTGTTTCAGGTTACCAGCTTGTGGGGAGGAGTCAGGATTGGAGCCTGGGTCTGACTTGGTGGGAAAGTTTGAGAAGAGATAGCACAGTCACAGATACCACAGTCACCCTACTGCTCTGTCCCCAGATCCAATTCTCCAAGGCTCCACGGGGCCCTTTCACTATATGGATAGAACCTAGCACACACACAGCTGGTCCTGGAAGAAATGACCAACCCCACAATGATGTCGAGCATTAAGAAGTGGGGCTTCCTTGGTGGTCCGGTGGTTAAGAATCCACCTGGCAATGCAGGGGAACACCAGTTCGATCCCTGATCCGGGAAGACCCCACATGCCTCGGGGCACCCGAGTCCCAGAGCCACAAGTACTGAGTCCAGGTGTAGCCACCACTGAAGCCTGCACCCCAGAGCCTGTGCTCTGCAACAAGAGAGGCCTCCGTGATGAGCCACAGGCCTCAGCAGGAAAAGAGCCCCTGCTCTCTGAAACTGGAGAAAGCCACCCCCAGCAATGAAGACCGTCCCCTCACAAAAAGAGCCAAAAAAAAAAAGAATCAAGAAAGTGTGGTGGACTGTGTGTGTGAAGAAGAAACAAGCTTTACCCTCTAAAAATGAGGATGCAAGTCCTAGCTCTTGGAGTGGCCTCAACTTTAGAAAACCTTTCACACTGTCTTGGAGGGGAGGGACTGGGCTGGGGGCTCAGACGTGGGGTGGCTTGAAACCCGCCTCCCAACACAGCAATGCCTCTTTCAGCTGGAATAATAATATCCTACATTTCGAAGTGGGAATGTCACCAATACGACGCATTTCTGGTTGTTAGTGACAAAAATGACTAAAAGATGTTAAGTCTTTTCTCCATCAAGTGACTATTCACGGGTTTTCCTATGAAGGCAGGCCTCAGGAAAGGACATGAGGCAGCTTACCCGAGACCGCCCTCTGTCCCTCCAGGGAGGGTGGGATGGAAATAAAATAAGCAAACTGCTTTCTCAAAAATTCCCTCCAATTAAACTAAAGAAACTTAGGCAAGAGCTGCTTACTGGGATGGCACTGCCTTCACACGCTGGCACCAAGTCTGCTCGCCCTCGTGGTTTGGGGGAAATTCTGACGACTCTCCCATTAGGATGAGCCATGAGTCAAACGCTGCCTTTAGGTCACACACAGCCAGATCCAGGAAAAGGCCACCAGGAGAAGTGCCTGTGACCCCCTATGGCTTCCCTTTCCACCACCTGGTAAAAATGAAGCTGAAAATGCCTTGTTTTTATTTTTGCTCGAGTTTACTTCAAAATAATCCACCTCACTCTGGAGAGAGTAGTAAACAAAACCTCAATGTAGGGTAATTTCCAGGTGAATATCCATATATAATAGTACATAAAAATAACATGAAATACCATAAAGTTTACTTGACAATAGCAAACATGTATTTCATTACGAAGTTTTTCAAGCTTATCAATGATTATTTCTATACAAGTTCTCCATAAAAGCTTAATTAATTCCAAGATTATGGGTAACATTTATAGCTACCATAACTGATTACCTATCTTATGGCAGGCATGTT